GTTATCCATAACAGCTAAAAGTCAATCAATGTGACATCACAATAACAAAAACACATCCTCATAACAGGTGATAGTTTGTTAAGTAACTTTTTGATTTTGGAGCAAAACGTTATGAAACCTTTTTCCAGAGTTGGTCTGATGTTTTCATTACATTCTGCGTTGAAATGAATGTTTGATCAAGGACCGATTTGGAGTTGGAGATTGTGGTTCATCGGTATCATTTTGACTCAAACAAACTGTAATTCCAACCTGGATCTTCACGGACCCACAGAGTGACGGTAGTGACCCTAACGAAACGACTAGCTTGCCTTCCTTGCAAATTGTGCTCATCATTTTGGACAGTTGGTAGAGGCCAGTCGGATCTAAAGTGTCTTCTTTGATTGGAATTCTAGAAGTTGGGTAGATGAAGAATGAGGACTATTTTTATGGATATACAACTTCTTTATTCTATATAGGCGACGTTTTGACATAGATTCTAATGTCGTTGTCAACGCTTGACAACGACATTAGAATCTATGTCAAAACGTCGCCTATATAGAATAAAGAAGTTGTATATCCATAAAAATAGTCCTCATTCTTCGGATTTAAAGTGTACAGGGACGTAGGCACAAAGCATGATTCTGGGGGTTAGGTTGCAACGAGACACACTGGCCTAAATATGACCTGTCTTGACTTTTGGTGATTTCTGAATGGATCACATCAGTACATTGCCTACATCCATCAAAGTGGGTGGGTGGGCCAATCGCATTGAACTAAGGACTGCATCAGTCTCGAGAGCACTCTATGGTTATCGTCGATATCCAGAATTATGTTCGATCAACATTTACAAAATCTATGTATCCGATGGTTGATTCTACATTCTTGTGGAATTCCCTGAATTGTGAAATCAATAGGATCGGGTGATCAGATCGCTTACTTGGTTGAAACATGTCATCGTATCCCAATTACGTAGATAGTCTGATCCAGAGTTTTTACAGACTGCCACCATATAGCTGGAATATTGCTGAGTGCGACATGAAACAACAAACAAACAAGAAAGGAATCTGTGTTTGTGATCACAGAGGCAGATAGATTAATGGCTCGCTGCAAAATGTGCACCCAGTGCAGCTTGATAAACGCTTTGCCTTAACAAGTGTACTTTGTGGTCTGTTAGTGAATCAGTTGAACGTGACACTCCTTGCTAAATGCACGACACGCTGATCGATAAATGCAATTATTTCCTTCTCAGACAGTAACGGTATCGGCACTTGAACATTGATCGTTTGTATTGTCCTCCTGTGTGATGTTTATGCCTCGGTGACTGTATGCGGTATAGAATTGTGGTTTTCTGTCTTTCCATTTATCACTTAGGTTGTATTTCTCAATCATTTACACTGGTACGTGAAGTCTTTTGTTCCCCGCCGTGATATTGCTGGAATATCAATTTTGCTAAATGTGGTGTAAAACAATACCCTCTCACTCACTCAATCTTTGAACCTTTATGGTATAATATTTTATGAGCGCATACCCCAGTACCTTCATTATGAACAACGGTGAGAGTTCTATGTAACTATATACAACTTCTTTATTAATAATATAAACGACGTTTCCGTGTAGCTACTAACACCGTTGTCAAGCAAGCCACACCGAAACGTCGCTCCTGTTAATAATGCAGTTGTAGATCCATAAAACCCTCCCCGTTAATCATCTCAACTACTTCTTAATGCCACTCAAAGACATTTCTTTACAAAGCTGATTATGTTTTTCACTGGATGCAGGATACGCTCATGTTTTGCGAACAGCTGGTATCATAGTATTTGTATAGTGATTCGCATACCTATGCCATGATATAGCAGGAAGCAGACAATGTATGTTGCTTTTAGCAAATATTTCATATGATAGTGAACATTTTTTAATGGTTTTGTTCCTTAAATTTCCATTATCCACTCCCGAACTCAGCTAAGATGGACTTCAGTAAATTATTTAACACTGTTTACAACAGCATGCGCACCGATGGACAAACACCATATATATTTCCTTTTGCAGTAAAACATTTTCATGAACGTTTCAATAATGTATATGTTCGTCCTTGTAAATGTTCAGCCTCAGTGAACTCGAATGTTGCGTTGTTGGTTAGTGAGCTACACACAAAGTCTATCTCCTGTGTCTGTGGTCGTTTCTCATTAAATATATTAGCTCTGTAGTACCGTAGTTTCTCTATTGGGGTATACTTTTTTGTGGAAATTCAAGTTGACGTGTTGGAAAGTTCAGATTATTACGGCGGACCCTGATTAGTAGTGGTTTCAACAGCCCATGCTTGTAAGGTGGGATGGACTCACTGACTTGGTTGATTCATGTTCTTGTATCCCAACAACGTAAATAGATCTTCTTGATATCAGTCACTGGATTGTCTGGTCCAGTTACCGTATTGCTGGAGTAATTTCTCAATGAGGCGTTAAGCAACAAACAAATATGACTACGGACGGATAAATTGATATAACCCAGTGGTTGATATTACGAGCACCGCCTGCTATAAGACGCTGAGGCTGACGACTCGATTCGACCCGTGAAGATCCGGGTTAGAACTTATATTCAGTAGCCAATGCTTGCCGTAAGAGGCGACTAACGGGGTGGTCAGACTCGTTGACTTTTTTGACACATGTCATCGTGTTCCAATTGCGTATATCGATGGTCGTGCTGTTGATCACTGGACTGGCTGGTCCAGACTTGATTATTTATAGCTAGAATGTTGCTGCGTGCGGCGTTAAAAGACCAGTCAAGAGAAAGAGAGAGACGACTCCATTCAGTTAGTCAGTACGATGACATCTACCTATATCAGACGCTGAGGCTGTTAGTCTGGACTTTGAGAGTGATTGCTGATTTCACCAACACCGTTGCTTGCATGAGGAGATCAGAGCCTGACGCATGTCGGCAAGATCTAATACACAGCAGCAGGGATATATGTGGTTTTATCAATTCAACGTCAGGTTCTACAACACACGCCTCCTGCTCGGCGAATACAACCTACCCCAGGACACAGGAAATACAACCCTCATAATACCGCAACAGTTTGTTGTGTAGCAGAAGCCAAACACAAGGTCCTGTCTCATGAATATTTATTTGTAAACAAAACAGAATATGTAGAATTGTAAAATTGTTTATTACAAAATAATTTGTTAATCACTGTTTGGTGTGCATTGTATCATATGCAATATAGTTTTAATAACAAAAAACACGTGGAGTATACATTAATTAATGTATTACACCAGCGGGATTCTGAAGATCTGTTTATGGAAGACTCTATATGTAATATAATTGTATCCTACAAACTGAAATCCTTTGGACACCGATCATTCTCTTACTCTGCACCTGTACTTTGGAACTCTCTCCTATGTGCCCTTAAAAGCTCTGACACAATTGACATTTTAAAGTCCAGACTTAAAACCCACCTTTTTCAGTATATTATGTATTACTTAATCTCTAAATACTCCAGTGTAAATATTCTGTAGCGCTTTGAGCATGCCTTAGGGTATGGAAGGGGCGCATTATAGATATGCATTTATTATTATTATTATATTATTATAGCAAGCATAATGTATAGGGGCTGGCTAAAAGGATGAATAAAGGGAAATATCGTCGATAGTAAATATTATTAATGATTATCGACATGAAAATTGTGTTATTGATAATATCGTACATTAGCTTTTGTGACAGAGAAAGTTTCTCATAAAATATACAAATTTAGGATTTTATACAAGGTCTGTTTCTAAATAATGTTCAGGACGATGTTTTGTTGGTAGTCCAGGCAAAATATGTCACCACCCACAAGTGATGTAAACTGTATCTATTCATTTTAGACTTCTTTTGCATTTTTGTTCAAAGTTACGTCACCGATATTTATCGATAATCGACCGATATTTACTTAACGATTATCGATCCCTATGATCGATATCGATAACCAGCCCTGATAATGTACCACAGCACTCTTGTATGTCAACTGACATTGGGAACCAGGTAACCCCCTCCTATCCCACAGTCCACATGACCATCAAACGATGACTACATCACCTTCAGATAAAGACAGACTGTATGTCCTTTGCGATAATCATGCAGTAGGATTAATGATGACTTGATGAAGAATGAAACAAGTAGACACATATTCCGCAACAAATTGTGTCCCCCAACCCCCTTGTGATGACAACGGCTCTAATATGTTATGCGTGGCTAAGATGTTTCTGCATTTATAATACTGGATTCGTGATTTGCTGATTTTGGTTCCAGGACTATGGAAATACCATTTTCCTCAGGAGATTTGGCAGACTAGATTTTGAGTACACGAAGCTTTTGTTGTTTTGTTGAGATGATATTCCAGATCGATCCTTTTCTGATCTGCTTCAGCCGCTAGAGAAAACCTGCGCATGCTCTGACAAGTACAGTATTTCAGAGAAGGTGGCCAAGTGATTAAAGCGTCCGCTTATCACACCGAAGACCCAGGTTCGAGTACCCATAGGTAATGGGTACAATGTGTGAAGCCCAGGTTTGGTGTTACTGTAGGAATACTGCCTCCAGCGGCGTAAAACACTCTGCACTCACGACACAGCGTCATGTGGCCATGCTTCCTAGAAAGTGTATTAGACCTCTATACTTTTCGATATATACAGAGGGAAGAAAATAAGGGATCACATGAAAGCACAGTGTCCCCTTATTTATTTCCAGATTTCTTCACAAGCTATGCGATACAAAGCTTGTGAATAAACCTTGGATAAAAATAAAGGAACACTTGTACTTCATGTGATCCCTCATTTTTTTTCCCTCAGTATATATCGCTTACATAAGATATATGATTTTAGGTTTGGCTATTGTGCTTGAGCCTGGATGGTATATAGGTTTCGAGCATAAAGTGTTATTGCACATTAATGCGACCATAATCACAATGTCATAGCACACTCATTTAAGTTGACCATCATAAACATACGCACTGTCATGAAAATATATAACATCTTCAATACAAAAATCATTCGAACAAATCGTAACTTTCATTTGGCAGTAAACACTGCAATTTCTCTTACAATCAACCAAGGCTCCTGGTGCTTTGTAATCTTGATCCTCAAACACATGGCCTTGAACTTGATACTTTCTTCAAGGGTATCAACGTCAATTCGTCCATCTTTGAATTCACCGATCATGATATCGTTCATGCACTGTATATTGACGTCGGTTTTCAGTAAGGTCAAACTGACCTCTACGTGACCGTCGAGCAGTCTGTCTTCCGGGTGACCTACTGAACCAGTATCTACGATAACCCTCCGCAGTCGATGCGGTTCCTGGAAAACGACGGTGAAACTATCGCCGTCACTGGGTGAACCATGTGTCCAAAAATAACCTTCCGTTTTCTCATAAGCTAGACGCGGAATGAATGTCAAAAATACTTTCATAGATGTAAAAACCTCAGCTGGTGGATTATCTCCGTGGTATTTCTTAGTCATCTGGTCAAAAAATCTGTCTTTGAGGGGCTGGATTTTGCCTGGGTAGGACGAGTGAATACCTTGGTGCTGAAACAAAGTTGGTTTGCGCATGCGTTGCACCATTTGCGTGTTCAACATATTGAAATACAAATATGTATAATCTACAGGCTGTTCTTCATAAAATAATTTCAACAACGCAGCTAGTTTTCGTAAGTCGGTATTCTTGTATAACTTCCCAATAAAACCAAGTTCTGAAAATTCCAAACAAGTCCACGTGTCCTGTTGCTCAGCTATGTACTGTTTAACAGCGCCGATGTATCCGTCCACCGTTATGACGTCGTCTTCGATTTGCATATAATACTTTGAAATATTTAAACTGTATTCAAACATATATGCATAATCGAAATTTTGTTTTGCTCGCCATTGAATATAATTTTCAGGCTGGCCATACGTGAATTTCGTAATGGTTATGTTTGGGTAATAGCTAACCGGAGCATGGATGACATGAAGGATCCCTGTGTCAATGGCGTCACTGAAGTTACGCCTAATGTCTCTCGCCAGCTTGGCTTTTATCGTGGGATCCGTATCGGCCAAAAACACAAGAATCAGAACTTCTTTCTGTTCCTCTGGAGACATATTTGACATCAGTGATTTTATAGTATGATCATAATACGACGCCCCCTTGCGTTGAATCGTGGGGATTCCTATCGTTAAAAACACTGAAAAAAAGGGTAGAATAGAATTAGTGCTGAAGAAATGATAATAATGGCGATTAACAAATGAATGCATTCACGTGATTTGTATGTAGGGGCGGTGGGATAGCTTAGCGGTTAGAACGTTCGCTACCCGAAGAAGACCCGGGTTCGATTTCCCTCATGGGTGCAATGTGTGAAGCCCATTTCTGGTGTTCCCCACCGTGATATTGATGGAATATTGCTAAAAGCGGCGTAAAACGCACTCACTGTATTTTATGAAACGATGGGCATGAATGCGGTGGGGCTAATACCAGGTATGGGTGGGACAACTTGGGAATGGCCAGCGAGTCCTAACTTGACACATAGAAGGAAGCGAGCTACAAAGACATATTTTATATCATTGGAAAGATCTCGGGGAGATGAACTGAAAAAATTCATGTGCAAGTGCGCGCACGTGTTCATAAGCTCACAAATGGGCTCTGAAAATGCATTTCTGCAGAAATTACTGGCAGAATTAATTTTTTCCGCAGAAATTTCTGGCAGATTTTTTTTTTACCGCAGAAATTTCTGGCAGAATTTTTTTCCCGCAGAAATTTCTGGCAGAAATTTTATTTCACTACCAGAATTATCTTAATTGAAAAATATTAGACACCATTTTAGGATAATTCAATATGGACTTTATTTAAATGATGTTACTTTCTCCTGTAAACAACTTCAAGTTGGAGGATAATGGTTCCCAGAAGTAGATCGCCGCACAAATCTTACAAGGCATATTTTAACATCTTATCAAGACGAAATGAAAATAAAAATAATATGGTGATTTTTTTATACATCTTTTATTCACGTTCTGTATAACATGAGTTTCACTGGACGAAGTTACAGTCATTTCATGTTAGACATGAGCCCTGTTGCCAAATGTTTCAGAGATAGATCCTCTCGGAGAAATATGCGTCCTATATACTGTATATATATAAATATTTGTCAGGGTTGAGATTGCGATCTGATCTGAGATTCTACCAGTAGAGACTTCGCAGTCTTTACCAGTATCCTACTAGTAGAGATTGAAATCGGATCCTACCTGTCAGATCCGATTCTACCAGTACAATTTCCAATTCAACTGGTAGAAACCCTGATTGTTCTGTAGGCAAACAACACTTTATTTGCTGAACAATAATATTCATTTGTTATGCATGTTATTTTAATATGTGAAAAATGTAAAGAAATTCAAATAATTCCATATCAATGTATCTCACTTTAATACAAATTGCATTAATTGATAATGTCCTAATCATGACCATTTTGTTGATACAAACTATGGTTTCACATATGAAAAATCATATGTAGGATCAGAATGGAGCTTCCACTGGTAGAGATTGCAATTGCATAGGTTATTCTATATAATAAGTTTCTACCAGTACAGACTCCGCTTGCAATCTCTACCCTGGCATATATATCATCTCTATATATACATTGTATATAGTTTAGGTGAATGAATTCATGTATTCAAATCATTGAACGCTTATTATTAGCATATATTCTGAACAACATGAAAAACCCTCAGTCTTTTCCTATAAATATAAGTGCATTCAATATGTTTGGACACATACTAGATACATAATAACAATATTTGATCATTTACATATTCCTAGAAATGCCTCCATCAACACGCTCAACATGACCAGCGTACCGAACTGAGATGATAAACAATACCTGGGCGACAATGTATCACTGTTCAAAGTGACAATACCCGAGAAAATCTAATTGTTTTCACACCTGATAATTTGTTGTTTATGGGGCTGTCCCTACAAGCGGCCACCGTCCCGGTTCGGTTGTCCCTGGTGGCCACAGCAATTAACAATTGCGTAATCCAGAGAGCGGCCACTCAGGGGAAAACACCAAAACAATGTCGGGTGGTGCCGCATGGACAATACACGTCTTTTGGGTTCTATCCAGTAGGTTTTATCGGTTCAGTTAAACACCAGATGATGATATTTTGTTGATTGTAGGAAGACATTAACAGAGAACTTTGTAATGAAACATACATTGGGTCCGCACAATTAAATTTCACAAGATATAACTTTATAAATATTCTCTTTCATGTATTCAAAATACTTTTTTTCTAAACGATGCATAGTTTGATAGTTTATCCATGTATATTGTGGTATTACACAAATATGATATTAAGCAGCATGCGCAAACATATTTAAGTCATATGTCTGCACCCTCAAGTACTTACAATGTCGTATCGGAAATATTCATTGTCCTGCAGCAACAACAGGTGTGCATTGTCTGCCGATTTCAAATAACAATATCAACCGGCATACCATGCAGATTTTATGTGGTACAGGAAAAGGTAGGCAACGGCTCAGTGTCCAAGCAAACATATGTTGCTGGGTAATCTACGATAAGGGTTACTATAATTCATTGCAAATGACAAAACTCTATTAGAGAGGGGTAATCATAATTATCAAAGGAGCAGGTGCCCACTCTTTGCACAGATCAGACTTTACAGGGAATAAGTAAAACAACATGTAGGCGTGCATCAAAGGGATTAACAGCAACAACTATAGGATAGTGGTAATAAAGCAGTGACAACAGGAGGAAGTCAAATGTCCAAGAAGTAGAAAATATACATGGCTGGAATGCTCTGCTAAGTTGTTGCTATCAGTTCATTGTATGCAGATGGGATGAGATATCCTTCATCTCTGTTGATGGAGGGCTTGTGTCCGCGGATTTGAACTGCTTAATCCATGTTGATGTATATATAAGTCTGCTACAGCACCTCAGTCTCGCTTGACAACGGTATAATAATCTATACTGAAACGCCGCATCCTATATAATATAGACGTTGTCATCCATGAAGCGAAAATGTGTTGAAAGAACGATATGAATGTAAGTCACTAACGTGAGGCTCTAAAATCATATGGTGGTGTGCAAATCATATGCGTTTAATTCGTGATTGGTATATTTTCTCATGATATTATTGTATGAATAATCGTTTCCTTTCACACTCGTATTACAACACAAATCATAAAATAGATAAGATCTATATATTATGATCTCGGTAGCAACAGCATGGAGCGTGTTGTTCAGTGACAAAACAATGTGAAAATTCATCGAGGAGATACTTTGTCCTTAACCACCTCAGCATATATTCTATACTTCACGGCAATGACGATTTATCTCCTTTAGACAATGAAAACCTTATAAAATCCGTTCAGAATTATATAACTGAAACTAACCGCTTTACGGAATTCAAGTAACAACCTATAAACATAAAATGCACTTGGTGTCTTGTTATTTATTTTCTTTTCTTTATTTTTATTTTGTTTTGATTCATTCATTAATGTCCTAATGTCTGCTCCATAGAATTAAGTCAAGATAATAACGAACTATATGCGGACAAGCATTGACATAGGCCATATGGCCTGTTTGCTAATCCTATTTCCATTTTGTTATGTTGTGTATTATGAAAAATGTAAACATTAATGGAAATTTTAAAAAATACTGTTTAAATCACAATACTGTATAAATCTCGAACAACCTCTGCGTTTTGCAGGTACAGTGTACAGTTCGAGTGACTATACAAACAATAGAGATACATAAACCATAGCAAAGGGACAACGGGACTCATGTGAGAGATGAAATGAATGCAACTTAGCGCAATGAAACTCATGTAATACAGAGTGTGAATAAACGATGTATAAAGAAATCATCAAATTATTTTTTATTTCATTTCGTCTTGATAAGATGTTAAAATATGCCTTGTAAGATTTGTGCGGCGATCTACTTCTGGGAACCATTTCCCCTCCCACTTGAAGTTGTTTACAGGAGAAAACATCATTTGAAGAAAGTCCATATTGAATTATCCAAAGATGGTGTCTAATCATTTTCAATGAAGACAATTCTGGTAGTGAAATGAAAATTTCTGCGGGAAAAAAAAATTCTGCCAGAAATTTCTGCGGAAAAAAAAAATCTGCCAGAAATTTCTGCGGAAAAAAATTAATTCTGCCAGTAATTTCTGCAGAAATGCATTTTCAGAGCTCATTTGTGAGCTTATGAACACGTGAGCGCACTGGCACATGAACGTTTTGGGTTCATCTCCTCGAGATCTTTCCAATGATATAAATTATGTCTTTGTAGCTCGCTTCCTTCTGTGTGTCCAGTTAGAACTCGCTGGCCATTCCTAAGTTGTCCCACCCCACTGAAACAACATGCGAAGTTTGCCGTGGATACCAAACAACATTGATGTCAATCCGCCCACAGCTTGTTTAATGCCGCCCCGTGAATATCAGGGTTAGAACATATATTCAATAGCCAATGCTTGTCGTAAGAGGCGACTAACGGGATCGGGTGGTCAGGCTCGCTGACTTGGTTGTCACATGTCATCGTATCCTAATTGCGTAGATCGATGTTCATGCTGTTGATCACTGGATTGTCTGTTCCAGATTCGATAATTTTCAGACCACCGCTATATAGCTGGAATATTGCTGAGTGCAGCGTAAAACTGAACTCACTCACTCACATCCCCTGTAATCCCCTTAATGCCCAGGGCAGGCAAGGCAACAACAAGTATCATATTCTTAACGCGACCCGGGATCGAACACCAGACCTCCCGCTGTCCGATACATGATTGCAATAACACAAATATACCTACGACCCCTGAAACATTCAGTGAAACCTCGATGTAGATGAGCCAAAGGTTTGTATGAAAGACATACAAACTATTCGATACTTACGGAGGGTGATATACAATAACTGGTTAATTACCCTCAATGAATGTGTTTTAAGAAGTAAGGGAACAGTGTCAAACTGATAATGCAACCGTGAGTGAAAATTGATTGTTGGTTGCATGAACGGAGCTACACGCCGTCGGCTAGGATGACACGCATACCACGATCCTGGGCCCCGCTCCTCAAAGCGATCGTAGCGCTACGACTGTCGTAAGTCTATGTTAAAGTATTGGAGTTACGATCACCTTAGCGCTACGATCGCTTTGTGGAACGGGGCCCTGGGTACTCGGGTGCCATTCGTATCCAACAGAAGCCTGACCAGCGGAGACCAGCTTTTTTAAGATATACTTTTAATATAACATTTTTTAACTGTACTTACGACAGTCGTAGCGCTACGACAGTCGTAAGTCTATGTTAAAGTATGGGAGTTACGATCACCTTAGCGCTACGATCGCTTTCAGGAACGGGGCCCTGGACGTATTGCGAACTGATGATAACAGCAACGACGGCCTTTGTTTGTACAGAGGATGATCTCTGACCGAGATCTACCATCGATTTAAGTAGCAATGCTTACCGGTTTCGCGTGTCGGTACAGGGAACATGAGGGGGTTATGTTGTGGCGGGGTTGCAGTCACAATGGAAGTCCCACAGGAACAGTCCTGGAAGAGAGCATCGGTACATACTGTTGTTATAAACACATAGTATATGGAATCAGTTCAAGGTCTGATGTTTGGTCTCAAAACTTCAAATATCAGTATTTCCCAAATTCCTGCTATAACACTTTGCAGATGCGGTTTTATAGAACTTCAGGAAACAGAGGAAGACTAACGTAACATGCACATCCCTTCATTATAACGACAAGACAGCTAGCACACCTGAGGAAATCTGCACTATGTGGTCTGATTACTATGGGGATCTGCTGTCACCTCTCGACAAGCCTGAGTTCGACAAGGACTTTTATGAGGAAACGAAGTCAAAAGTGAGTGATATAGCAAAAAGTGGCATACTTGAGAACGATCTCATCCTGAAAACAGATATTACATCCGATGAAGTGAAAGCAATTATTAAGAAGCTGAAAAAGAATAAGTCTCCGGGACCTGATTGTATTACTGCCGAGCATCTCCATTATGCCGGCACTCTTCTGTTTAAACACCTGTCGCACCTCTATAATATGATCGTCAGCTCCTGTCACACGCCTGCCATGATGAGAACTGGAACTATATTATTCCAAGATATAAAGGAAATAACAAAGATAAACGCAACCCAGCTAATTATCGCGGTATCACTCTCACATCAGTGATTGGGAAGGTGTTTGATAGACTGTTGCTTGACAGACTGGAATCCTACATCAAAACTGTAAATCCTGATTTCCCACATCGCCTCCAGAGTGGATTCCGGAACGAGAATGGAGCCAGTGTAGCCACATATGTATTAAAGGAGGCTATTTCATATTTTATCGAGATAGACACTCATATGTCCTTGTTGCCTTTCTTGACAACGAAAGGCTTTCGATAGGATATGGCATGAGGGGTTGTTGTTGAAACTATTCAGTCTTGGTGTAAAGGGCCGTGCATGGCATATCATCCGCCAATCGTATCAAGAAGCAAGTGCCTGTGTTAAATACAGTGGTAAAACGAGTGATTTGTTCAATGTCAACAAGGAGTAGGACAAGGACGTGTGCTCTCAGCATGAATGTTCCTTGTCTATATCAATGACCTGATATCTCAACTTGACGATTTACAATACGGGCTAATCGTTGGTAAGGAGCACATCCCCTCAGTATTACTGGCTGATGACACTACTGTTGCCAGTACTACTGCACATGGACTGAACATGTCCCTTGCTGCTATTCACCGGTATGCCCTCCGCTGGAGACTGACATATAACGCCAGTAAGAGCTGTGTCTTGTCTTTCATCAGTGACAGAAGACAATGTAATAGATCTGTCTTCAAAACAAGATCCGTACGTGACAATGCCGATCCATATACTAGCACGACTTATGCTGGCTCTCTGATGCACACAGAGAAAACAAGTGGACGAACTACTCGAGCTTGTACTAAAGCAAGACAGAAAATCAACTCCCTAAGAGAAGTTGGCCTCAGAGCTGGAGGATTTAGCCCAATATCTTCTTCCAATATCTGGCAAAGAGTAATCGTCCCATCTTTCTATGCATGTGAACTCTGGCCAAATATCAGCAATTGTGAAATCAACGAAATGGAAACTTTGCAACTGTACTTTGCGCGGCGAGTCCAGAATCTCCACAAGAGGTCGTATACAGGTGCTACAATCCAGGTCCTTGGATTATAGACAATGCTGGACAGAATAGACAAGATGAAGCTTCTCTTCCTAGGACGACTCTGTAGAGCAGTCGGCACAACCATTGTGAAGCCGATCTTCTATCTGAGACTGTGCCAGTATGCCACGACTATCACACATAGTACCAGATCCATAACGCATGATCTATTAAACGTAGCCAAGAAGTATGGATTATCAGGCGTACTAGACAAATTTATCAAAACCGGAGAATTCCCATGTAAAAGTATATGGGAAAGCACAGTCCAACGAACCTTGTGTAGATTTGGAAATTGTAAATGGAGAAACACTTTGCAACAACGTCATGATGTGCATAGGTTTAGTGATATTCACACCCAGCTTGCTCCACATCGTCTCTGGAATCTGTGTGTATGGTATGGTATTGAATCTCCTCCTGTTTATGCCCTGGTTAAGCTCGGCATATAACCTGTGACATCGGGACAATGTCTGCTCTGTGACTACGAAAGTGAGGACTTTCTTAAGCATCAATTGCTTTACTGTGAAAGCCTCGTTGAACACAGAAATGTGCTAAGCGAGTCGTTGTTTGATAACCTAAGCCTTGACACCTATTTCAGACTCGATGACATTGCTAGTGATGAAGCTAAGGTCCTGACATACCTCGGTGCCATTACGGATGTGGTCCATGATATGACACTTGACAGCTGGGCAACATTCATGAGCATCGTGGCTAAAAATGTCAGCTCATGGAACTTAAGGTGTATATTGTATCTGTGAAATTATGTCACACACCATGTAAATACAGCTCTTCATATTACTCTTCGTTGTGAAAACCCTGTTGAATTGTCATATGTATTGTCTCTATTGTCAGTGCGACTGACAAGTAATATAATCTAATGTACTCTCCAAATCATTGGGGGAAATAAAGAGTATTCATTCATTCATTCATCAGTTCATGTGTAAACAGTACCTTTAAACAGTATGGGGTATTTAGTAGAACAGTTGACTGTAAGTGGCTACATTTACACTAGTGAGCCTAAACTTTTGATGGGTAGTATATTTGTATCATGAATAATCGTAAGGGGTTTTATTGATGTATGTCGTTCTCATTTTCTGAACTTAACGACCAAGGGCCCGATCCACAACGCGTTCGCAGCATTACGAGCTATCGTAACTATATAGTTTATCATAGACTTACGAATGACGTAGTGCTACGAACGCTTTGTAGATCAGACATGTTTTGTTTAAAGGTTGATCTGAAAAGGGGACGACTGGCTTTTTATCGGATTTAATCAATACACAAGATCACGTGGTGGGTGGCATTTACGCAAATCTCAAGTCAAGAACGAGATTGCATATTTCCATTATAGTTGTCATATCGAACACACTTCAACACCAGTCAATCAATATCGGTAAAGCAGCTATGCACAGCTTGTGCGTGACCAAAGGTGATGGCCTTTGCACGTGGTGTTTAACAAAAAGAAGGATAACAGCGATCATATTTATATCATGTCAATAGAGGATTGATCTGTTGCGCCACGTGCAGAGCATGAGCAGAGCATGCACGTGCACAAAATAGTTAAAAAAACGAAATATCAACCACAGTAAAGTACTGTTATAACGAATCCATGGCGACAACTAGTTCCACTTCGTAATAACCGTATTTTATTGTACGCTTTTCGACTGAAGTGTACATCAGTGACAAAATAGAAATAGACATACATCCGTCAGTTCAGTAAAAAGTGATTGTTATCAATGTAGTTAAGTATATTGACCGATTTTGATTTCAATAATATTTTTGGGGGTACATTATTAACCATCTCGAACTGATGATTAAGATTAGATCAAGTGGTGCTCTCATACTCAATACAACCTTGGATTTACCGAATCCGTGAAGTTTCTAATTTAAAATCATCTGTGGGAAAAATCAATATATACGCGAGTGCCACGTTACCAGGTGTACAACGGTAAATCATAGGCAGTGTAGTATCGACCGGAACAACTAGTGCACGAACATCGATCCACGTCATCTGGGCACGATGACTCGCCTAAGTCCGATCACTGTATATTGCTCAGTTAAAATAGATACAATGTGAATATTTATCTATATCCGAAGAGTATTTACATTTAAGTTTCATTTATTGATTTATGTTTAAAAAGACAAAAGGAGGTAGGTGTCCAAACGTTGTGGTTTGCACGCGCGCATGTCTGTGAGTGAGTGAGTGAGTGAGTGAATGTATTGGGGCGTGTTTTTGTGTATGTATGTATGTATGTATGTATGTATGTATGTATGTATGTATGTATGTGTGTGTGCGTGTGTGCGCGCGTGCTTGCATTCGTGCGAGGGTGGATGTATGTATGTGTGTGTATGTCTTTGTGTATACATTGTATGTATGAGCGAGTCTGTGAACGGCGCTCTGTCGAGTCTCGGCAATTGATACATGATGAAGTGTTAACGTTGCTATGATCCAAGTCGTACCTTCTGACGTGCTTAGATGCCGCTGATTCTATTCTAATTCTGAATCACCACACGTGAGCTCCAGGAACAGAAGATGAGAACTAGTTCTTATTGTGTCCCGTTTTAACGACTTGAACTTGCATGTATGTTCCAGACAGGCACAGACTTTAATCATGGTAGACAGTGTTATATGACATGGGTACCCGTAGGTAGTGATCATAATTATAGAGAATTATAGAGAAATGGTGTATCAGTTTTTACGTGTGACATGTTATACTCTGTCCGACGTCAAGATGTGACAATAATTAGAGGTAAGGTAAAATTGGGTTTAACGTCGTGCTTGAGAATATTTCGCTCATATGACGACGTGACAATAATTAGAACGGCCTTAAATTGTTCAATTCTTCAATAGCATTTTAAATGTTGTTTATGAAATTCATCACTGGATTCACATTTAAGACATAAGACATTGTCCAAAAGTGTTTTTGCGCTTAGAGCACCAGGAGCTAATTGAGCCTTTCCATCAGAATTTCAACCAAGCCGTTGCCTCAGATAACGGGAATTTAACGGACACTCTATTTCTGTGTGAATGTGTAACAAATGGTATTATTATCATTAATACCTTGACTTGGTCTGTCCCCTCCTCGCGGATTCCCATGATGTCTCTGTGACTATGTACTCGTTCCACCTCCACATCCTTAACTGAAACAGTCAGTCTAAATTTAAAATATGTACAATGTTAACATCCTAAAACAAAATCCAAAATCAAGATTACATTGGAGTTGAGCATTATTATAATCGGTAATGTAATAAACATGGATATAATCCATTCTGAGAAGAAAACGAAGAGAGGTACAACAACAAAATACACAAACGTTTCCTATTGGTGAGTGAGTGAGTTGAGTCTCAGTGAGTGAGTAGGTCTAGTTTTACGTCGCACTCAACAATATTCCAACTATATGGCGGTGGTCTGTAAATAATCGAGTCTGGACCAGATAATCCAGTGATCAACAGCATGAGCATCGGTCTACGCAATTGGGATATTATGACATGTGTCAACCAGGTCAGCGAGCCTGACCACACGATCCCGTTGGTCGCCTCTTACGACAAGCATTGGTTACTGAAGATCAATTCTAACCCTGACCTTCACGGGAGAGTTGGGTCTCAACAGGATGCTAGTTATAACGCTTAGCGTCAGTTTAATGTGAGGGGAAAGTTTGAGGTGATGCAGGTACAGGGCCTCCTTTCACAAAGCACTAAGGTGATCGTAAGTCACTAAGGTAACCTTAGTGCAATGTTAAAGAATGGGAGTTAAGATTAACCTTAGTTGCTTCGTGAAAGGAGCCCCTGGTCGTTTACCACTTGGGTGGAAGTCCGACCACAGGACTGCTGACATACATAATCAGAGCCAACATGGGTGGGAGTGAGTGAGTACAGTTTTACGCCGCTTTTAACAATATTCCAACAATATCACAGCGGGGGACGACAGAAAAGGGCTTCACGTATTGTACCTATGTGGGGAATCGAACCCGGGTCTTCAGCGTGACAAGCGTACACCTTAACCACTAGGCCAGGATGGGAACCCAAGGTCACAGGTTGCTGTTACAAAACGCGGCCGCAACTCCCCACAACGCCGTTTACATTTGTATAAGATCTTGTGCATGTCTGCTGCGATATCGCTGGCATGTGATCAAGGACACAAACTATTTCATGACTGGTGTTACTGCAGCAACAAAGTCGACAAAACCATTTCTGTAATGATGAGCAATCTCTACTGACAGAGGGACCCATTGTACATCATAGACTATAGCATAAGTGAAGCGCTGCATAAAGTGAAGACTATACCATAAGTGAAGTGCTATTTATGATACAACGTGAAATCACACAGGAATAGTCCATTGTCCCTAAATAAGAACTATGGATTACAAAATAACTCTAAATCGATAGTCTAATAAATGTCAGTACTGCACATGGCAATAAATACCTATACCAAACAAAATTTGCTGTTTGTTATTTGTACACACATCACTGGAAACAAATTGATTAAGAACTATGTCCAAGTTGACATCTTAACAGTACGGGGCATCGCGGTACAACACATTTTACAGGCTGATGGTGAATTGAAATCTACTACACTGTTCCCGATTTTTAGTTATTTTGCAATTCATCGTTCTCATTTTGAGACAAACGGATTAGCTATCTGTGATTCCTGACAAATCAGGAAACAATAGCCAGTGTCTTCAAAACTGGTATTTTCTAAAATTCTAAATGTCTCTAACGTAAAATTCAAACTGGTGGCATTAAACCGTGCTAACGTCTTCTTTCGGTGAATTAGACGTCAGGGGCCGTATTTATAAAGAATCTTAGAATTTTCGTAGTTTTGGTCTTAGAATTCCTAAATCGGTCTTAGTTAAAAGTTCGCTCTTAGAGTTATCTACAAAGACATATCATCAGTAGACATCAGTATCATCAGCAGAAACTTTGGCTGTTCCTTGTCTTCCAATTTGGGAATGGTTCCTGACATTTGCTACGGAAATGGGGCACAAGACCGGCCGTTGAGCAGGTCCAGACCAGGATATGAAATTGTACACTCTGCATGGGATCAATAACGTCACAAAACTACAGACGACTACACCATCGATTGCATAATTGTCGATTTCAGACCATCTGTTGCAAACAAGATTTGAGCTGGGTGTAATATATTGATCTAATACAAAAAACACGATATATCAAATTGCAGCCTAAGTTAATTATTTGACTTTTCATTCTCTTCAAGAGTAAGAGGTGCACACGCCCATCAGATCGATATGTTAGTCGATGTCAGTGTCACAACCTTATAATGCTCAGTTTTATATAGGGATAGAAAGGTTTCATACTAAACGTCGACATCCCAGAAATCCGGTTTAAACCGATTCCGCTGTGTGTGCAAGTTTGTTTGTGTGTTTGTTGGCAATATTTCACCCACCATATATCCAGTACATATGCACCGGAGTCTAATTTAAGTGATTTATACTCATTAAACTGTTGTCTATTTTAGACAGGGATTAGAATAAATATACTTCTTGCAGAAGACGCAGAAATAGGTAATATAGATGTCTAACACATTATTTGTAATGAATTCGGTAACGGATATGAGCTCCGTATTGACAGGAATCCGGATTAGTCAGCGTCTGGTATGGACAGATTCCACTGTAGATATAATTAATGGTGTATCATATGATAATGCGGCTTCGTAAATTGGACTGTTTCACAAAGATCGGTATGTACGTTTTGATATCAAGGTATATGCATCGATTACTGGATTTAACGAAAGTTACATGTATGTTTCATTAAAAGACTATAGTAATGTAATAATGTAATCAAACCCAACCGTACTGAATATTGTTAATAATATATTACATAACAGTCTGGTACACAGATACACAAAATAGTTCCTTCTAAATGGGAAACTGAAATCTTGTACTATTATAAATGCACGTTTCCTGTGACACTTATCAGACTACAACCGTTATAACCAAGCCATCCCTCTCAGCAGTAGATAGGGATACTGCAGTAGGTCAACGTGATGTCTGACACTAGGACAAGTTACTGATATGTGTGTATTATTAGACAACTTGAGATAAAGCTAAACCTGCTTCTGTTCTACGGTCACCATACCCATGTCCGTCATTTTCAAAGTGACGATCATGCTGTTGATCACTGGATTGTCTTGTCCAGACTCGATTATATACATATCGCCGTCATATAGCGGGAATATTGCTGAGTGCGGCGTAAAACTAACTCACTCACTCACTCGAAGTGATGAGATGTCGGAGAACTTCGTTACTTCGGGATTTTCTCCCACATTAAGCTGACACCTCGTGATGTATCTGAACTACTGTTCGAAGCGCCTTAACTCAAACTCCCTCACTCGCTGTTTTCAGCAGTATCGAACACAATATGACAATATTTTCCAGCAATGGGTTCAGAACCAACCTTGCCTCACCAAGTGTATATACAAATATAGCCATTTATTTGGGTTTGTCATATAATACATAATATTTAACTCAGAGGTTTAAGGAACCTTTTCTCTTTTTAATATCACAGATAACACTACTGGCTACGTAAACCACATGTCTGAAATGAAAACTGATGTCAGTGCTAAAAACGAAATGATTATTTTTTTACGCAAACGAAAGTTACTGCGCACGAGTTTGTTTATATTGTTATATACTGTGTTTGTTTATATTGTCATATACTGTGCCTGTTTATATTGTTATACATTGTGCCTGTTTATATCGTTATATACTGTGTCTGTTTATATTGTTATATACTGTGTCTGTTTATATTGTTATATACTGAGAGACTGAAAATATCATTAACATTTTTATCTCAGTAATATAAGATCAAAATACTGGACTGTAATATCTCTCATTCGGGACTTACAGTGGTTCTATTTTATGTTTACATAAGAGTTTCTCAATCTTAATTGAACCAAATTATTTTAACTCAAACTTACACAGATTATCTTTCACAGACTGTTCCATGAATGAGTAACGGTTCTATAGACAAAAAGCATTAACAGTTATTTAAAAATTCAATTTTAATAAAGAACGGTATCATTCGTTTTGTCCCTCACTTGAGCTTTATTCGGAATTCGTGTACAGACATGAAGACCCTGTACAGAAGGATGGCAGGTCCTTCCAAGGCGGAGACTTGTCCTGTGTGGTCACTGAGCACAGCGGAGAGGTATCCTCCCAAAACTTCCACACCTTATAATAACAACATTTCTGGTTGACTGCACACAATTTAGCATACTGATTACATCAGTCTGTAATGGTTTAATCCATTAATCAGTAATGAATACAGAGCAGAGTAGACGAACACAACTGTGAAAGGGACGTTACGGTGGTGACATTATATACCGTGACACCACCGTCACAGTCGCAGCGGAGATGTTTTCGGAAATGCGTTTCCTGTTACATGTGAAGACGGTGTCCTGTTAGTCACTCATTTCTACTTCCCGGTGAATGAAGACACTATCCTTTTTTTTACCCATTTCACATCACCCAGATGTCTTATTTCATATATTCCGAAAGAAAATGTTAGTGCACTGTTCTCGAAGCAAACTATGCCATCACTAGAAATTGTAGAATACGAAGATGAGCAGTTTGGCCGGTTTGTGCGGTTTACCTAAGTATCCAGTGCTGATTAAATGCATGTGTTTGGACCTGTCAGTGGTACCAATTTCAATAGAATCTTGCGGGGTCCCTTCGACTTGGAGCTGTGACAAGAAACGTCAGTCAGACAAACGTTTTTCAACAAAACACAGTCTCATCTGTTTGGAGACGTTAGCAATAGTTCGCAGTGGGGTAGCCTAGTGGTTATAGAGTTCGCTCGTCACGCCGAAGACCCGGGTTCAAATCTTCACATGGACACAATATGCGAAGCCCATTTCTGCTGTCCCCCGTCGTGATATTGCAGGAATATTGCTAAAAGCGGCGTAAAACTAAACTCGATCACTCACGTTAGCTTATGTAACGCACATTCACGACTTGCCACAGAATAGCCGTACACGTGTGACGTTACGTCAGGACAACCATATTCGGTTGGTGCAACTTCAGAATCGATACCAAAGTTCACATTAACAACACGGACAATTCATTAGTTGAGACCTGTTAGTGGCACAAGTGTACGCAACCGGTTGAAGGGGCGCCACATCTGGGTATGACGTCCGGAGACGAGCCCAATCTTACTTCCATGTCAACGTCAGGCAGGACTAGCAAGGTGTAGACAGAAGTCAACACTAGGACAGTGTACTATTCACAAATGAGTCCAAGATTCATCTGGAGAGCTCTGGTGCTCGTGCAAGGATCTACAGACGTCCAGGAGAACGTTTTAGCGTGACGCTTACGTTCCTTAACGTCGACAGTTTGGGTGTCAAGGGTGTGCAATCATCGGAGAAATCGGATATTTATGGTGAGATAGTCTCTGTAATCGGGTGCATTCATTATAACACATTCGCATTCTAAACGCATTAATTTCAAATCATAATTCTTAACTTGTAATACTTTTCAGTTTACTCCAGTTGCTTGAAGCCGTTAAGTATTTGACGTTAAGCATTGTATTGACTTTTTGACACAGCGTTAAGGTTTACAATACGTATATCTGTCTATATATGGATTTCATTAATTCCGGACAAGTTACTTTATACATTTTTAAACCATGAAGTCCAAAGGTTAAGAGGAATTGATCCTCAGTGAAAACATTCAAACTCTATTAATGTTTTATCACTCTTCAAAAGACCCGTGAAGGTCCGGGTTGTCGTAAGAGGCGAATAACGGAATCGGGTGGTCAGGCTCGCTGACTTGGTTGACACATGTTATCGTATCCCAATTGCGCAGATCGATGCTCATGCTGTTGATCACTGGATTGTCTGGTCCAGACTCGATTATTTACAGACCGCCGCCATATAGCTGGAATATTGCTGAGTGCGGCGTAAAACTAAACTCACTCACTCACTCACTCTTCAAAAGACTGGGTGGGAGTGGGGTTGGGGATGGATTTGACCCCCACATCCTCAGCCCACACTCCCCGTACACGCCGGTTACAAAACATATGGAGTTCTATAGACGCAGTAAGTACGTGAGTTGTGGAGAAATGTGTAACATTACTTCATCAACATGTGTTGTCAACCAGCTGTCAGTGTATGCTTCACGACTACATAATAAAGCCATATACTTACCAGGGTGCTGCCTCGTCAGCAGTAGAAACTGAAGAGTTACAATACATGCTAGAAGGGTCACGATAATCGGAGACGATCCCCTCCGGAACAGATTCACTCTGCTGGCGAGCCTCATGGCTTTGAGACCCCTTACAAACAGAGCAGAGCACGGCCTCCTTACGCCTGCCATGCTCTAATAACGCCGTGTACACCTTGTAAGGGTCTTTGAACCAACGATGTACCGCGTGGGAAGAACAGAAAATTAGAGCTCATCCAGCGTCATTCAAGTCCAATGAATATGAGCCGCTACATCGAACACGGAATTTTCACAACTGCGTCCTGGGCCCGCACAGAAAACACCAGTTTGTTTACAACCGATCTTTCACATCTCCACATGAAAGCTGATTGGCACACAATAAAGTCTTCGCTTCCCTCGTGACAAAACCTATTCATTCGTGTTTTGACCAAGTCTGTTCGGAAACCTGCCCCCAAAGCATACTAAAACATACAGCACAGAAATTTTGGAAGGTCAACCAATCGTCCCTCAATCTGTGTTGTGTAACCACAAATACAGCATTGGGTATGACTTATCGTGTTGAAATATTTCCTCGTTGGCCATGCGATGTTATACCACGGAGAGACATCACTTTCTTTTTGTTTGATCCATCAACTCATAAAAATACTTCCTTCTTTCTGTCCTGCTCTTCTTGATCTCAATTCCTTTGATTATATCCCCATCTGAGACAGCTTTGGTGAGGTTTCATGAGGTTTCATATCTGAAATGTACACAAACGGAAATTAATATTATACATATATCAATGTGGAACATTTGTAATGTACGACGTCGAGATATGTTCTGTTGCAACACTTTCTCTGCATATTCTTTAGTACCTGGATTCTAGCCCACACTGTAAGAAAGAGGCACCCGACTGCATTCACACAAAGTCACGACAATCGAACAACTGGGAGCCTAGATCACGTGTTCACCGCTGAATAGGCACCCGTCCATTGACTGACTGAACAAAGAAACGAATGGGCAACTAAGTTGTGTGTGAATGAACTGATCTATAAACGAAGCGTCAGATGTCATCTAAACAGACAAGAACATACAAGTGACAACAAAATGTCTGCTAACAAGAGACTGGATTGTATGATGTGTTTATGAATCGTCACCAAATAGTAACTTGAGCGAAAGGTTAGCCTATCACGCCCCTTCAGGGGCAGCAGTCAAAGGTACGTCAACACGTAAGACACCGCTGCCTCTTTGTGAGATGAGGTAAGGTAAATGAATAAATGGATGCAGTCATAATATCCCCCAAATAGACAGGTAAACGTGCAACTAATGACGTATCGAAAATGAGTTTTAAATGAAAACGTTTGAGTTATTCTACCTTTATACAATTGTTTGTGATGTGCCAAATTCATCAATACATGTAGACTTGAGCAGTAAATCCATTAGTGTATTCGTGTCTCGCCTTATGTACCAGAGTAAAAACATAACCCATAAAATAACCATAAAATCATAAAACATTAAATAAATTATTTCATAATCTCTTTGCACATTAAAGACAAGTAACTGCAATCACGGGTTGGAATGGTTGGGATATGTACAAATATGTACAAATACAGAAGTTCATCCGTTGGTCCACAACACAACACAACACTTTATTCGGGGTCTGACTGTGCAATTACATAACAGTGCAGCAACGGCCAGGCAGCGATAGTTAGACAAACGCTTAGTCTCTGAATATATACTCTCCCACAAAAGAAACGCATATAAGAATTTCAACTGTATTTTTATGTTTATTTTGAAACAACTTGTAGGCTTTATGAGTCAATGAAATATAGCGAAATTGCACACTGGGAGTGCAGACTTATCCGTCTTTGGCACCAACTCGAGGAAAGTCAGTTTGAGTGTCACATGGAGACGTGTGGTGGCGCTGAAGTCAATACCTCGTGTGACCGCGGTGGACATCCAGAACTGCACGGCATCGCCTCGCATCGAACGAATAAGTCTCAGAATCTCGTGTTGCCCAATCGCAGCCCACTCTGCCTGTAGTGCCTGTGCGAGTTGCTGAAGTGTCTGGGGCTGAGGGTTACGGCGTCGCACCCGTCTGTCCAGGGCATCCCACAGATGTTCCATCGGGTTTAAGTCCGGTGATCTTGAGGGCCATTGATGTTGTGGTTCTGGAGGAAGTCTCTAGTGTGACGTGCTGTGTGGGGCCTGGCATTGTCCTGTTGACAAAACTCCCTCTGGCGATCAATGATTGGAAGGAGGTGTGGGCGTAGGATTTCGTCACAATACCGTTGAGCTGTCAGGTTGCCCTGGATCATCACCAAATCACTTCTCCTACGGCAGGTGATCTCTCCCCACATGATAACACTGTCCCTGCCGAATCTGTCCACCTTGGGAATGCAAGCCTCGGCGAAACGTTCACGTCGATGTCTGTACACCCGCATTCTTCCATCGCGTCGTTCCAATAGAAATCGTGATTCATCACTGAACCAGATTCTACGCCAATTCGGTAGGTTCCAGGCCTGAACGTTGGTGCACCATTGAACTCGATGTCGACGATGTTGTTGTCGAAGCACAGGGCCAAAATAAGGTCTTCTGGCACATAAACCAGCCTCTCTCAACCTGTTCCTGACGGTCTGTGCAGAAAGCCTCCTCAATCCGGGTATTTGTCGAGCGGTACTGGTCGCCGTAGCTGTTCGATGACGCAGGTGATGTACCGATCCTGCGCCGCAGTGGTCGCTCGAGGTCGCTCGAGGTCGCCCACTACGAGGGGCATCTGCTACCGAATTCTGCCAGCGATATCTCTCCCAGAGCGGTGAAATGGTGCTTTGGTGAACATTCATGCGCCGGGCAACTGCACGTTGAGACTGGCCAGCTTCAAGCAAACCAATGGCGATATGACGGTTGGCTTCACTTAGACGTGGCATTTTGCGTTCGTCAGCAATATTCCAAATACAGTGAATAATCGACAGACAGCGATCAACCTTTTATACCCATCATTGAGACTATCTGATCCCCAACTTTCACGTGCATTACATGTGAATTGTGTATTCTGTGACACCACACGCCGAAATTGAAAATCATGCTGTTAAATACGGCGTATTTTACGGATGGTGCGTTTTGTTGTGATGTTTCAAAACATAAACACCACAGGACTCATAAACAGAGCAAAACCTTTTGTAAAATGAATCACGTTTTAATTCATTGCTACATGAAATTGCTATTTTCATGATGCGTTTCTTTTTTTGGAGAGTATATTATAATTTTGATAGTAACAAACAAACCCATTATAATTGAAAAGGAGCCCCAGGGAGACCAAAGATTCAGAACCTGAGGAAATCTAGATTTGCTTCATTTAGGGCTTTAGCATTGCAGAGAGGGATAGGCAGTAGGGAAAATAATGTGGTCAGGGACTGTGAGACAGACTAAAGCGAAAGTCAGCTCACCTGCCTAGTCGCTATCCGAGGGCCAAGTGCCTCTTTCAACAAGAATTCAACGTATACCACTGACTGCCAGCAGCCCTGTACCGCATTAAGGTGCAGGTATGGCCAGCCTATAGTGTCCAGCACATCATCAACAATGTTTAACTTCCGTGGCCAACTGGCCATACGTTAATGTTAATTATAGGGGTGGGTATTGCAGAGAATTTTCACATTGCGATATATTGCGATGCGAAAGCATATATTGCGATATGTATTCAATATATTACAAGAAGTATTTTTAAACATAAAACTACTTATAATCGATTTAATGCTTGATTTATAAAGCAAAAACACAACAAAATAACAATGCTTTATTAAGCTTTAACAACAACCTTTAATCATGACAAAATAAAATGTAAATAATATTTGGCACAAATGAAACAAGGAAATATCCGAAGATTTCCGAGTGTTACGAAGTTTTCCGAATGCAACTCGAAATACAGGTTTTGATCAGCGTATCGCAGTACGTATCGTTTTCATGTTTGAACCGGTAAATAACGTTAAACCGGTTATATTGCGCAGCCCTAGTTAATTACACGCAGCTGACCTGCATAGGGCTGTGCTGATGGTCATGATCATAAGCTGTTGTTCTTTCATTTCTATTGGCAGCACTGTGAAGAGTTCGATACACAACTTTAACTTTACTCAGGGAATATACCACCATGCCTATACTACCTGTTAAGCCTATACTCCCTGTTAAGCCCATATCCCGCCAAAGTGCCTACGATACTGATGTACAAATGCCAGCCGTACAGTTAGGAACACACGTGGGCACACACTTACGTACATTAATTATCAGGCAACTATTTTTCAAAAGATACGACGTAGGGACGCTAAGCGAATTGAGGTGCCGTAGACTTGTGGGGTATAAACACTAATTGGAAGGACCTTTGATCATGAAGTCCAAGATACTGCGGGTTCGAGTGTAAGATTATTATGTTCATGACCCCTAAATAGTGAGCGTCGTGATTCTCTTGAACCCGGCATCATGCACGCCTAGATGAGTGAGTGAGTATGGTATTACGCCGCTTTAAGCAATATTCCAGCAACATCACGGCAGGGAACATCAAAAATGGGCTACATACATTGTACCCATGTGGGGAATCGAACCCGGGCCTTCGGCGTGACCAACGAACGCTAAAAAGCTTTAACAACTAGGCTACCCCACCGCCCGCACACCTAGATGAAGCCGGTACTTAAATACCTACCTCATGGCTTCAGCTTTAACATAGTGACCCACCTGAGGTCGTTAACATATCACCTACATAAAACTGAATGCGTCATGCCCTATTTCAACTCGCATTACCAGACTCCCTATCCTCAACCCGTTAACAAACTACCCGTGAAGATTCTGGTTAGAATTGGTCTTCGGTAACCATCTTTTGTCGTAACAGACGACTAACGGGATCGGGGTGTCAGGCTCGCTGACTTGGTTTTCACATGTCATCGTATCCCAATTGCGTAGAATGATTATCAAGATGCTGATGACTGGATGCCTGGTCCAGACTCGATTATTTAATTGACTGCCACCATATAGCTGGTATATTGCTGAGAGCGGTGTTAAACAACAAACCAACACCCTAAACATACAGACAACTTACCTCAACCCGTCAGCATACCGATACATGAAAGCTTTAGAAGACTCACTTACATCAACCCGTCTACATACCGACACATGAAAACTTTAGCAGACTCCCTTACCTCAACCCGTCAACATACACACACATGAATCCATATGCAGACTCCTAAAACTCAAGCCGTCAACATACAGACACATGAAACCTTAGGCAGACTCACCTACCTCAACCCATCAACATACAGACACATGAAAGCTTTAGCAGAATCCCTTACCTCAACCCGTCAACATACAGACACATGAAAGCTTGAGCAGACTCCCTTACCTCAACCCGTCTACATACAGACACATGAAAGTTTTAGCAGACTCACCTACCTGAACCCGTCTACATACAGACACATGAAAGCTTTAGCAGACTCCCTTACCTCAACTCGTCTACATACCGACACATGAAAGCTTTAGCAGACACACCTACCTGAACCCGTCTACATTCAGACACATCAAAGCTTTAGCAGACTCCCTTACCTCAACCCGTCAACATACAGACACATGAAAGCTTTAGCAGACTCACCTACCTCAACCCGTCTACATACAGACACATCAAAGCATAAGTAGACTCCCTTACCTCAACCCGTCTACATACAGACACATGAAAGCTTTAGCAGACTCCCTTACCTCAACCCGTCTACATACAGACACATG